GTAAATTGTTTCTCGCATCGTATTCAATATGTGCATATCTTGTTTATATTTATTTATGTGTGATCAGTGTCTTCTCTCGTGCTTACCCTCTCGTGAGCATATTAATTGCTTTTTCTTTCTATGCTATATTCGTAAAGGTTTGCTATTTGTTTTTAAAGATTTGCTATTCAATATTTACTACCTTTTTCAAATGATTCTCTATAAATCACAATACATAAACTTAATTATCTTGTATGCTTTTCTCCTGAACTTTTTAAAGGGTATCTTATAGTTAACTCTTGTAACTCAAAACTTTTTTCTTTTCCGTTTTTCACTGATGCCTTTCATTTCAACTGCTTTTATCTTATTTTCATTCTCATTTTTAGCCATAGAGTGTTTGTGCATGTATGTATTTGGGGTATACGAGATTTATTGTTTTGTATGTGCATTTTAAGCAGAATTTGTAAGCGCAGCTAAATCACTTCGAAGGCTTCTTACTAGTACAAAAGAGAACCGTAAGCTAACCTGCCACTTGAGTACACATATCACATATAGACACACACACAATCATAATTCCCTAGCCCGCACACACTTCACTGTCATATCGTTGCCATTTATCCTTATTTAACTCGAAAAACATGAGAATGGGCAAAACAAACGCAAACATCGGTTGTCTGAGCGAAATAGCTGGCCTGGGCCATATCCTGTACTAATGCCTAAAGTAGGGAATGTAAGCAAAAATATATCAAATTTATAGGAACTTAGTTCAAACTTTATATAAAGAAAATAAAAAGAAAATAATCTTTGCAACTTTAAGTTAAATAATAATTCAATTTGTATTTTATAAAAGATTTGTCTTCAAGCTCTCATTAATGCTGCATGCAAAGTCAGACAAAATCGGACATAAACATGCCTAAAATATTGATGGAAAATTAGGGTTGGGTTAAGTTTTGGCAACTAGATTCGAGCCAGCTACGTTTCGATTTGTTCCATAGGAGACAGCACAAGCTACTTGAACTCCATCACAAGAGTTTAATATTCCGCCTTTCCCTCTTTACAGGAATTGCAGAACCCTCTGATGCCTTGTTGAGACAATGTATTTGTACAGGGTACCAGCAATGAAATTTAAGCACGGACCTAATACTCGGATACCCTTGGGGCAGGCCATGTACGAAGCCACCCAGTGGAAGCCTCGGTAAGTACGAATCATTTTTTAAACTCCAACCGAGGCAAACAATTTTACAAATGCAACTTTAGCAGCATTTGCTGGCCAACTTGCGCTTAAAATGGCCATGGCAATGGGATACAAATTTCTATATGCATATACTGACACAACGTTGACCAACACTGGCCCCCCTTTGCCAACACTTGCTCACTTGCCTGGCCGCTGTAACCAATTGTAAGGAATTTGCAATTGCTCTGCCCTCGCCTGCCTGACCCAATTTCCTCTATGCAAGTGTGTGTGTCAGTGTGTGTTTGCCCATGTCCTGCGTGTTACATTTAACGACTTTCGAGTTCAAATTGTACAAAATTTACGATGGCGAATATTTTCGCACTACTGCAATTGCAGCATTTTTGGGGTCTCCGGTTTTTGGTGTCCATCGGCGCGTTGTTTCGCTTTCTGCAGTTGCCACAAGCTGCCGTTAATTGAGGCGCAAAGCACCGAAACGGGCAGCGCAAACAATGTGCACCAATTGTCTGGCATGCTTTTAATTCAATTGGACACAACAACAACATCAACATCAAATTGGCAGCATAATTAATTTTCCAAATATCGTGCAACAATTATTTTCATTTACGAGTTGCATTTTCAACGCTTTTCCCTGCTGCCATTAAAGTCAATTGTTTGGCTGCGGCTTCAATTGAAGATGACGCTCACGATGCAGTCAGACAGAAGGGCGAGTTAAATTGGCGCTGAAAAGCCCTCGAATTGTGTATGTCTAAAATGGTAGCTACATAGTCTGGATGAGCTGAGCTTTTGTTTTTTATAAAGCCGTTTTTTTCTCATTTATTTTATTTACTTTTTTATTGTGTTTCTTTAGTTACATAACAATACATAAAAACAATCATAGAATTTGAAGTGTTTCAAGATATTTAAGAACTCCTAGCTAACAATTTAAATTGAAGAAATAACCTGTTTCGGCTAAGATGTGCTGAAAACCGAGTTTATTATAGTAGTATTGAAAAAGCATAACATTTTAGAAAACTACTGCAACCATCGGTACTATTTACATACTACATTGTATATATATTATATATATATATATGATATATATATATATATATATATATATATATATATATATATATATATATATAAAGTATATAATCTATAAAAATCTTAGAAGAGTGAGCTTTTTTGAAACAAAGTATTCAATATTACAGGCAATTTGTAGGAAAGGAAGGCATATAAGTATTATATATTTGTATGTGTGTGTTGGCGTGTGTGTGTTAATGTATGCATGCATGTATGTATGCATTTATATATATATATATATAAGAAAAATATAAGAATATATGCACGCTGCAAATTTAAATAAAACGATTCTCGATTCTCAAGAATTCAAGTAGGCTCTGCAGTTTTTCATAATAATCTAATAGTGTTTTTTTTGTTATTGTAGCTGTTTTTTGTTTATTTTTGTATGTATGTATGTTATTGTATTTTTTGTATGTATGTATGTATGTATGTATGTATGTATGTATGTATGTATGTATGTATGTATGTATGTATGTATGTATGTATGTATGTATGTATGTATGTATGTATGTATGTATGTATGTATGTATGTATGTATGTATGTATGTATGTATGTATGTATGTATGTATGTATGTATGTATGTATGCATGCATGTATGTATGTATGTATGTATGTACGTATGTATGCATGTATGTATGTATGTATGTATGTATGTATGTATGTATGTATGTATGTATGTATGTATCTATGTATGTATGTATATATGTATGTATGTATGTATCTATGTATGTATATATGTATGTATGTATGTATGTATGTATGTATGTATGTGTGTATGTATGTATGTATGTATGTATGTATGCATGTATGCATGTCCATATACATGTGTGCGTACATATGTTCGAATATGTTCGCGGACATAAAAAATTAAATTTTTGTTTCTTGTCAGCTGAGCAACTCTGATAACATTTTTCTTTAAAAATGTCGTGGACAATGTCAATGCATTTTCTTATGCAAGCGGAATGACAATTCAAAAGTCTCAAGAGCAACAGCTTAAACAATTTTCAATGCCATCCAATCGTTGTCGCCTGCGCTATTTATAATAACTAAGTACTCTTGTTTTGTTTGCTTTTTATATTTGTTGGTATTGCTAATTGCTTAGCCTAAGCCAAGAAATCAGCTGCCATTCCAGAGTCACATTTATCTCTTTAGCCATTCACCAGGCATAGGCCACACCTCAGCAGCAATTTGTCAGCGGGGGTAATGCATGTGGGCCCCCATCTGCGCAGACTGCCCACCTTACTTTTTGCCATGGGCTTGCCTTTGTTTGTGTCAGAGACAACAACTCTGGTTTATGCTCAGTTTGCCATTCCTTGGCATAGTTAGGAGCTGTTTGCACAATCCACGCACAAGGTCGTGACGTGTGCTGCTCGGTGCTTGGTGTTGTTGATGATGATGGAAATACTGAAATACCATTTTCCGTAAATCAAGCCAAAGTCGCCAAACATCTGGTTGAAAATAAATAAGAAGCGATAAAAAAAACTAGCCATGTGAGGCGACTTCACGATGAGCGGCATGTTGCATAATTCGCGCGTGCAAACACGATTTTTGTGCGAACTGCAAAGCCAACCACCCAAATGCATCATCACGAGGCTGACACCACCTGTCCCCCTTTCCCTGCGTGTGTGTGTGTGTGTGTGTTTGTGGCGTGTGTTGCATGTGCCACACATCGTCCAATATTCGTGCGCGCATAAATCTTTTGGTGACTGTGGCGCACAAATATTTTAAATCTTGTCGCTGGCTGAGCTTAAATATTAAATACAAACGACACCAACAGCAGTAGCAACAACAGCAACAGCAACTACAACGGCAGCAACAAGATTATCAGCGACAGCCACAGCAACAACAACAACAACAACAGCAGCAACAGTTGCTGTTGTCATTCAATTGCCGCTGCGCTTCACTCCACAATGACATCAACAACAACAAAAGCAGCCACAACATTGGTTACAATTTCCGTTTTCCTATTTTTTTGTTGCTGTGCCCATACCCTGTAACCAGAGCAATGAGTATGGGGAGTAACAGATTGCTGCGCAAACTCATCTATCATAGCAGTGAAAGTAACTCAATAACAGCGATTATATCTTGCTGGATATATTAAATTTAGCATATAGGTTCATGAATATCCTATATAAAAAGGAACAATTAATTAATTGTAATTTTGTCTATCAATTAAGCCAAATTAGAGAAAGTGATTTTAAAGGCTTTTAAAGAGTATCCCTTTCTATTGAAAATACTGCGAAGATGTATATATGGCATTTTGTGAGTAGGTTTTTGAATACCCTACAAAAGAAGAGTATATTCATAATTTGTTATAATAATTATGTCCACTCATTAAACCGAAAAGGAAAAACTTACAATTATATATATTATATATACAAGAGAACAAAATATTGTTCGATACATAAAAATGTAATGAAATAACAATTATCGATTGTTGCCCTACATAACACAGTAAGCATTTATTTACAGGATATCCGCTAGTCAATCAGTCTAGCTTGTTGCAATTTTCTATGTTTTTGTCTGTTTTTGATTTGACTTGGCAATTAATTTGCCTTCGCTTTGAGGTGTTCATTAAAGTTCCTTGGCAGCAAAAGGAATTGTCAAGCATGGAGCTCTAAGTTTTAGTTCAAAACAAAAAGTTTTAATCACGATTGTTCTACATTTCATTGAAAATTTTCTAACAAAGGCAGCAGCTGATGTTAACTTTGCCAAACTTGGGCATGTTTTCATTTCATTTCATTTGAAATTTCGACGAAACACTTCCTAAGGAAATTTAAGAAAATTATTTGAAGAAATTTATAATACATTTTTGTGCCGTGACGTGTGATATATAATTTAATATGGGTCGTCGGCCAGCCAGATGTTATCGTTATTGTAAAAACAAGCCGTATCCGAAATCGCGTTTTTGTCGCGGTGTTCCCGATCCCAAAATTCGCATTTTCGATTTGGGCCGGAAGAAGGCAACTGTTGAGGACTTTCCATTATGCGTCCATCTAGTTTCTGATGAATGCGAGCAGCTGAGCAGCGAGGCCCTCGAAGCTGGACGCATTTGCTGCAACAAGTACCTGGTGAAGTTTTGCGGCAAGGATCAGTTTCATATCCGAATGCGTTTGCATCCATTTCATGTCATTCGCATTAACAAAATGCTGTCCTGTGCCGGCGCCGATCGGCTGCAAACGGGCATGAGGGGTGCCTACGGCAAGCCCCTAGGCACAGTTGCTCGGGTCCGGATTGGCCAGCCCATCATGTCGGTGCGTTCCACTGACAAGTATCAGCCACAGATTATTGAGGCTCTGCGTCGCGCCAAGTTCAAGTTTCCGGGTCGCCAGAAGATCTACGTATCGAAAAAGTGGGGCTTCACCAAGTTCGATCGCGAGCGCTACGAAGAGCTCCGTGATGACAATCGCCTCGAGCAGGATGGATGCAATGTCAAGTATCGGCCAGAGCATGGTCCAATTGCAGTCTGGGAAAAGGCTCAGCGTGCTCTTTATGCTAATTAATTTAATAAATCGAAGGATTATTGTTCGTTAAGAAAATAAAATAAGGTATACTTGTGGAAAAACAAGATATCTTGCATTATAACATAATTTTTGTCAGATCAGTTCATAGCAACTATATGGTACTACCCAACCTGTACGGCTATTGTGAAATGCTAAGTTTTCCTTGTATTTATTCCTTAACGTGGTACTTGTTCGCATAGAAATAGGCAATTCTTTGATTGTCTACTATATTTCATCATATCACATGCTACTAAATTGTCCAAAAAAGTTTTTTAACAACTCATAATCCATGGCAGTTCTTATGTAAACATACCAAGAAACGCCTAAAGCCAAGATAAACTTATCTATACGCATTCATCCCGGCTTTCCCCACAGGTTCTCTACTAATTTTGTCAATTTTGTTGACATTTCCAGTGGGAAAACGAAAAACTTTTATCTTTTGCCATGACAAGCTGAACTTTGGCAAATCCAATAAGTACTTTAAAACAAAATATAATACAAAAAAAAAAAAAAACACAAAAACCAAAAAGTAACAAAATGTAGGTTTTATTTCACCTTAGCGCTAGCTGGATAGCCGAATAAATAAGCTGAACCTAGTACAACAAAAAGATAATATATAATAATAAATATGAGGAGCAAAAGTTGATGACTGTGCTGCCCGCCCACAGAGGGCGCCACTGCGGGATGATTCGAGCAGAAGCATGTAGAGGTTATTAAAATGTTGTCACAAAATTTTTAACGCGCAGAAGGAGATATTTAGAGCCTCATGAAGTATATATAATGTCAGCATCAACAACCAATAAAGCCAAGCTCGTCCGTCTCTTTCTATAAAATCGTAAAGTCATTTATTGTGGCAGTTATTGTATGCAACAGTTTATAACATGGGTATTATACTTAATAAGAATATGGAATCATTGGTTAAGAAAAAGTTGTATAACAATCCATCAAAGTCAACATATCTGTGGGGTAACTTGTTCTCGGCGTGCCAAAGTTGCTTCCCCGTTTTATTTAGCTTGTCGTTTTGCAGCACTGTTATCCAAATACACCAAAATGATTGATATAGGTATATATAAATATTTATATATATAAAGGTACCTTTATATCTAACCCTCTGTTCGATTGCGCCAGATCGTTGGCAATTGAATGAAATTCAATTAGTTTTACAATTTTCGACGGTCATCGCGACCGACTTTGAAGCATTTGTCAAACAATTAAATTGCAATTTTCGCAATCGCCAATAAACCATTAAAACTCGCTCAGGCAGCATAATGAGCGGTGCCCCACACACACCCCCCACCCTACCCTTCCTTTTAGCACCAATACAAACGAAAATTGAATTTGATTGATGACCGAGAAACTCCGGTATTGCCAATGTTGATAATGCTGTCGTATTATGATTTTAATGAGCAACAAATGAAAGTGTTTTTAGCCGAAATTGCGAGTGAATACAAGTGTGAGTATGAGTATGAATATGAATACAAATCGGGCTATACTCACTTCATTGCTTAAAGTTTGACTTTTCAGTTTCTTTACAGCGAGTTTTTGTTGTTGTTTTTGTTTTTCGCTTTTGGCAATTCCCTGACCTATGCCTAGCTCATAAGAAATGCGCAACCCCCTTTTGGCTTAGAGCTTGAATTGTGAATGGGGGCCATTCACAACTTGTGTTAGAGTTTGTCTGCAGACTAAAAATAGCCTTTAAAAGAAATATCATAATGGAGTTGTCGTTGTCGTTGGCTGAGCGTGAGCCCATTAATAATTTGTTATTATTATTATTTTTCTGCTTGAAATATGCCCGTTTTACAGACAATATAGGCAGGCAAAAATAATTTCCAAACTTATTTCATAATTAACATATCTGAATAATATGAATATTTATGCCAAATTGCCAAATGTGCTAAATAAATTTTATGTAAACATTTTAATGGCTGCGAATTCATTTACATTTTGATAAATATGAATGTTCCAAAAATACGTTTAATTAAAATGCATATTAAATAAAAACAATTAAATTCATGCAAGCACATTTGCTTTAATTTGCTAATATGAACATTATTGCTATTAAATTCTTTGATTAAATAAGTATAACACTTAGTTAGTTGGAGGTTAACAACAAAGTTAGCCCAATAATATCTCTTACATATTTAAATTTAACCTTAGCTACGCTTCTATTATACTCGTTTTTTTCATGGCTCAAATATTTTTCCAGCATTTTCTTCTTTTTTAAATTTAAGCTCACGTTGGCTTTTGTGGACCTTTCTGGGGCCCAAATTCGATTTGATAATTTGTTCGTAATATCAATAAGACTCTGGGTACAAATTTGTAACCAGAACGACAAAAACTGGTCTCTACCTCTGAGTTATTCCGTACAAAGTGTGGAATACGCCCATTTGCATGCCCCTTTCTCATTCTGTTTCGACTGCTTCGTGTTGCGTTTAGAATTCATAAAATATTCTGGAGCGACTGCATAGAAATTGTGCTCGAATGACTTTTTGTCTCTGTTGTTGGCCATTTAGTTGCCAGTTTTATTGAATTTTACAATTCGGTGAGCTCCAGACATGGACAAGCTGCACAATTTGATACCCGCACCGCACCATTATCACCCAGTTGGAGTTCACTTGGCCGTTCCGAGTGGATATTGAATTTAATTTTTATTGGCAAATGTAGAAAACACTTTTGTTGCCGTTGCCGTTACTGCTCTTGCTGCTGCTGCTGCTGCTGCTAATTGATGCATGCAACTGTCTGTGGGGCATCAGTCAGCCAACAATTGATTGCCAGCAGCTCTCACCTGGCTTTGGCTCTGGCTTTGGTCCAGGTAACAAGAGCTCAGCAGCGGAGCTAATGGAGTAATTACTAGCGCATTGAAATGTGGTAAAGCTGCACGTGAAATGGGTGAATGGGTGAGTGGCTCAACGGTTGGGGAACCCAGCACGCTCCACCCCACCGCACCGCACCGCACCTTGCTGCAGCCCAGCTTCATTGCTGGCCAAGTGAGTGGGTTGACTGTGCAAGCATGTGGGTCTGCTTTTTGTGCCCTTACCGAACGGGTAACAACACTTTTTGCGGTATTTTTTAGAGACCTCCACATTAAATTATATTTAATTAAGAAAATATTTGTGCCTGCCCTGTTTATACCCACATGTTCATCTTCATTTGGTTTTAACTAAGTTTATATCTACTTTATTTAGTTAATGCTGGATATGGCGACCTTTTAATGTTATAACTATTTTATTTAAAGTTATGCTTTCTTAAATAAATCTATAGTTGTCTGCAAATTATTTAAAATTGATTTAAAAATTATTGAAATTTTTTGTTGATAATAAGCGTTACATTTATTTATATATTTTTATTAAACTTACGCACTTCTTAACTACATTTTCATTTGTTGATGCTAGACTTATAACTTCTTTATTAACATTTATTAAATGTAGTGTATGCTTAAAATAAAGTTTATTAGCTTGACATTAAAGCATAAGCCCATCACAACAGTCTTTTCGATAGGGCATACGATATTCGCTCTATTGCAGTTTTCAATTTTTGCCCCTTTTTTTTCTTTGTTTGTCTCGCCGTCTTTTGGCATGAGCCAAAGCATCGAGGCGCCGCAAGTAGCAGCTTGGTCGTAGCTGTCTGGCCCTATATCCAACGCCCCTTTCTGTCATATCCACTTCCCCCTCACCCACCCTGCTGCGGCCTTTCGCATTTTACCACTTTTCCGCGAAACGCTCGAGTAAAGCGGCGAATTATAATGCGAAACTCTTTGGCCAACCGGGCATATCAACAGTTGGCTGCCGGCGTTCAAATTGTTTGTTTGTCAGTGTGATGGTGAGTGTAAGAGTGGAGATGGGTGTGATGGGGCGGGCTAAGTGGGGAAATGGGGCGTATAGCATTAAGCATAACTTTTGATTTGTGTGAAATGTCTTCAGCCGTCGTGTTATAACAGACGCCACAAAAGGGAACAATTGGGCGAGTGGCTGTTGCGCCTTTCTCGCTGTCGCATTGTCTCGCCGAATACATTGTTCAATAATCGCATAATGTGTTATATATTTTACAAACAGGTTCATATTATAATGACAGTATTGCGCTGCCACAGCGACAAGAGTATTGAATTGCTTAATTAAAGTTAATTTCCTACGCGCCATAGTTGCGCCCATTTTAAATTAATAAGACAAAAAATAAATAAACATTAGAGTTTTTTAACAATACGTCAGCGCAGCTCGTTATCACAATAATGGAAAATAAATCGCAGTAATTGATTTTCACCATATATTAGAAATTGCCTCTGTTTTTTATTTTTGTAATTATTCTAGTTAATGTTTACATATTAATGTATATTTTCTTTATTTCTTTACTTTTTTTTTTGCTACAATTATTTTAATGATTTTAATTTGTCATTTTAGCTCTGCATGTGAGCAAATTATAGTTGATTGAATCGTCCGGCATTCAGGCGAGTGTTTTTTTTCTCGATGTGTTTGTGGCATTTGATAGATTTGAATGGCCTTTTCATTGTCAGTTTGCTGTGCAGCAACCCTTGAACATTTAATGACCCTTCCTGGTTTACTGCCAATCTAAATCGCCATTGGCCTTGCCACAGTGGCCATTAAATAAAAATATAAAATAAAAAAAACAGCAAAGAAGAGACTAAAATCTAAAAGCGCATCAGCTCAAAGTGAAATTCATTTTCCTTTTACCAAATATTTAGTTTAAACGTGCAGTTTGTTAATCAGCTCTTATACTTATCCATGCAGCACGTATAAGAGTTGCATTGAGTTCGGTTCAGTTGTGTTGTGTTGTGTTGCTTGCCGCAACTTGTTTGATGATGTCTGAGGCTTGTTGCGTTTGTTGTTAGCTTGTTGGAATGCAGTTTGAAGGTTTCGTTTGAGTTTTGAAATATTTGAATATGCACTATTTCAAGAACCAAACCAATTACGTACTCTTAGAAGCCCCATTAGTTGGTCGTATCTAAGGAACTGGGGAGAAGAGAAAACACTTTCCAATCAAAAGGCATATATGTGGAGTAAATGCTAACTATTTGCCTATTGGACATATTCTTAAAACCTT